CAGGTTAGAGAAATGAGCTGAAAAATAATAGAAACACATTTAATTTTTTGATTTTCCTTTTTCTATCTTCTTTTCTCTTTCTCTTTGTCTTTCCTTTTCTCTTTTTCTTTTTCACATTTACTTTACTATATTTTTTTCTTTCTTTGAATGTATTTCTTATTATCTATGTAAAATCTTTTAATAAAAAGTATTTAAAAAAAATAATAGAATCGAAATGAAGAGAGAGAAATGTAAAGTTTTTCACTTAGGAAAGAATAAGCAAATGCAGAGTTATAAAATGAAGGACAACACAGCTTGACAATACTGCTTGTAAAAAAGTTGGAATAGTAGTTGACTGAAAATTGAATATGACTCATTGGTGTGACGTGACTACAATCAATTTTTTTGTTTTCATGGCTACCCATAGTATTCTCAAGAGTCTTCCCAATGGCAACATTCAAAAGCACCAATTCTATTTCTGTCCTGCTTCTTCAAAGTCCAACTTTTGGATCCAAATGTCAGGTGTCACAGAAGCCTTGCAAAGCATAGTGGAGGTGTTGCGAAGCCTCACAGAGGCCTAGCAAAGGCCTCACCGAGGGCCAGCAGCTACCCTGGCCAGGTGCACCTCTTCAGCAGTGGGAAGAAAAAGATGGCGAAGGTCAGCTGGGGGTGGCAGGGGATGGCAGGGGTAGGCAGCAGCAGAGGGCAGGGCAGCCAAAAAAGCAAAGATAGGTTGGAACATAAACTTGGCTAGCCATCGTAATAAAGGATTGTCTGTGAGGGTCTTATTATTTATTTATTTATTTATTTATTTATTTATCATATTTATATAGCCACCCATCTCACACAAGGTGACTCTGGGTGGCATACAACAATTTTAAAAAATACATAAAAACAATTGCACATAAAAAACTATAAAAACACATAAAATAGGAGGGGATAAAATAAGGGAGTGATCATGAAACCTCTCCAGTCTCCTGGGAGCCCCAGGCCCGATTACATAGCCAGGTCTTGAGGGACTTGCAGAATGTTAAGAGGGATGGAGCTAATCTCACTTCATTTGGTCATTGACTGAAAGCAACACATTTCTTTTTTATTTTTTGTGTCCTTTGTAGTAAATAGTATGATCTTCTGACTGAAAGTGTCCAGTTTCAGTCCATTTCCTTTTGCTGATGCCTAAGTTGCCAATGTGTTGTTGATTCGCGTTTGCTTCTATGCCTTCACTGTTGCCATGTTCATCCTCCTTACTGCACATTCCTTGTTCTCACTGTAATTTTGTCCTTGCAGCTTCAAATTTCCTGCATGGCAAATCAGCAACTAGATGTCCCAAAGGTTTTAATCTAGCCATATCATAAACAACATTAGTACTCTGAAAGATCCTCAGCTTTTCCTTGGTAGCATGTTGAATGCCATCTGACCTGGAGGGTCATCACCCAGCACTATTTCATTCACTTTATCTTGTCTATCCCTGTGGTTTTCTTGGTAAAACGCAGGCATGGTTTACCACTGCCTTCTCCGTGCAATATGAAATGCTTTTGCCATTGTCATTAAAGTGATTATCTGCTTCCAGTGTCTTCCTATCTCGTTGTTGCCTGACACCTGGTACCTGATTGCTAGGATGACTTTCACACCTTGGGGGATCCTGCTGGGAGTACATACTCTTGGCATGCACTCCTGGTGTTCTTTGTTCATCCCTCCCAAGAACACCTACACACAACCACACATATACAGCCATGATGAGGCATCATAGTAGGACTTGGAGCAAGGCTGAAAACGGAACAAGGGGAAAGAGGGCAAATGGCTGCACATCTCTCTGCTGAAAAGCAAGGGTATTTCTGAAGATGACTCTGAAGTTTAGTCACTGCTTGTGTAGGATTGCTTGGCTGCTGAATTGCTGAATCTTTTTTATTCTTTTCCTATTCTGCCAAATAATCTCTCTCCCCAACTCCTTTCTGTTGCAAGGAAGAAAAGGGTGTGTGTGTGTAATGTTTCTCTTTGGCTTTCTCTCTTGCTGAATTCAAGTGTAGCTCCAGAAGCAAAGCAAACCTTTAAAGATGCTCTTTTTTCAGTGTCTTATGAGAGCACGGTGTGGCATTCAGTGATATTTTCAACATTGTGTTTTGTTATACATTTTGGTGACACAGAGTGAGTAGAGGGTCTGCAACCCATTAGTGACTTAAGCTTATGTTAAGTAAACATGTAAATCTGAATTTGTAATCCTAAATTTAGAAACTGGGAAGACAAGCTCCTGGAATTAAAAAATAATGTATTTACTTACAATCTTGAGATGTTTTATATTTTCTTGCAACAAATAGAAGGGAATCCTTGACTGGCAAATTCTGAGGTAGAGAGTAGAATATCCTAAATTTTGTTTAAACTTGAGCCTGATCCAAATGTTTTCCTGGGTCACTTTTCATCTTGTTACCTTTGTAGTTCCTCTTTTTTTTCCCCCATCACCTTCTCTGCAATAATCCCCTTTCCTATGGACATTTCTTCAAACTTAGAAAAGATGAGGATGCAAAGTGAGACATGAAATGCTTGGTTACTTTTACAAAACTTCTGAGCTCAGCCTGCCCTACCTGCCTCATGACTATTTTTAAAATGCCTGCAGACATTATCCTTTGACCCTCATCTGCTGCTTCCCCACCTCGACAGTCTGCGAAGACTTACACAGGGTGAACAAAGACACTTTTGTCATCCTGCATAAAATAGGGTGCCATCAGCTAGTCAGATGACCTATATTATCTAAAGGATAGCAATAACTCTGGGCTAAAGTACCTGCTTCGTACTCAGAAAATCCTAGTCCAATCCCTGTCATATTCAGGAAAGGCTGGAAATTCTTTAGCTTGAATTTTAGAGAACTAATCTCGGCCAGCAAAAATGCTTAGTTATACTGCATTCCCGCCCC